ATGAGGGGGGGGCACAGCCCCCCAACCCCTCCCCAGGGGCACGGCGTCCCCAGCCCTGAGCCATGCTGGGGGTCCGGGGTCATCCTTGGTCCCTTTAGGTACCCCAAGCCCCAAAGAGCTATAGCAGGGGGTTCCTTGGGGTCTCCAGCCCTCCAAGCACCCCCAGCCCCGAACAACGTCAGGGGGGTCCTTGCGGTCCCTGGTCCCTTTAAGCACCCTAAGCCATGCAGCAGTCTTGGGGGGTCCCCAGTTCCTCCAAGCATCCCCAGCCCCAAGCCACGTGGGGATCCTTGGGGTCCCCAGGGGGTCCCCAGCCCCTCCAGGCACCCCCAGCCCCAAGCCACGTGGGGGGTCTTTGGTGTCCCCAGCACCTCCAAGCACCCCCAGCCATGCAGGATGCATGGGGGGACCCCAGGTCAGGGCGGGCAGGGGATGCCAGGGTGGTGCCCTGGGGTCCCCAGCAGTGGGGGGGTGCACAGAGGGTGGGGGCCTCCCCGGTGCTCACTGGGGCAGGATCTGGTAGAGGAGAGCCTCGGCCTTGCGTTTCTCCTCCAGGTAGGCTTGGGTTCGCTCCTCCACCAGCTCCTCCAGGTTGTTGGCGTACTGCTCCATGCGCAGCAGCAGGTTGTCCAGGATGTTGCTGCTGCTCTCCCTGCGGGCAAGGGGTGAGCACCCACCTGGGGACCCGTTTCGGGGTCACCCATCACCCACGGGACTGGGGGAGGCAGAGGTACCTGTTGAACTTGCGGAGCTGGACCTTGATCTGGTTGAAGTCGGGGCGCTCCAGGACGTCCTCGGCCCAGCAGTGCTGCATCAGCTGGCCCAGCTCCTCCATGTGGCACCCCACGTTGGCTGAAGGGCGGAAGCTGGGGCGCTCCCCGCTCTTCACCCGCTCGATGATCTCTGCGGAGCCAAGCGCCCGTCAGCGGGTCCAAGCACCCATCAGCAGGTCCAACCACCCATCAGCTGGTCCAAACACCCATCAGCTGGTCCAAACCATGCAAAGGCAGGGCTAAGCACCCATCACAGCATGTCCAAGCACCCATCAAGTGAGGCCAACAACCCATCAGCAGGTCCAAGCACCCATTAATGAGGCCAACAACCCATCAGCTGGTCCAACAACCCATCAGCAGGTCCAAGCACCCATTAATGAGGCCAACAACCCATCAGCTGGTCCAAGCACCCACCAGTTGGTCCCTGGCACCATCTCCCCAGCTCTCCTGCTCACCTTTGGGGCTCAGGTCCAGCCCCTCCACGTAGAAGACGCCGTTGCGCAGGGCGATCTCTTGCAGGATGATGCCGAAGCTGTAAACGTCGCCCTTCTGCGTGCCGCGGGCTGGCGGCGACTCCATCCGCAGCAGCTCGGGCGCCGTCCACAGCTTCTCTGTGGCACCAGGGAGGGGGCTCAGGTTGGACAGGGACCCCAGGCTGGGGCTGCTCCCAGGGTTGGGGGCTGAGGACGGGCTGGGCGCTCACTGGCGAAGAGCGCGTGGGAGTCCTCGGCATCGGAGGCCACGCGGAAGCTCTCCAGCCCGTAGTCTGTGATCTTCAGCACGAAGCGGCTGTCCACCACGCAGTTGGAGGACTTCAGGTTCCCGTGGGAGATGATCACCCCGTTGTGCAGGAACTGCATCCCCTGGCAGGGCAGAGAGCGGTCGGACCTGGTTGTCCCCTCCTCCATGGGAATGAGGGACCCTGACGGGAACTGGGTGCCCCGTGGGAACCAACTCGTTACCTTAACGATGTCATGGGTGAGGGAATAGCGGAACATCCAGTCCAGTGTGATGCTCTCGTTCTCCAGGATGTCCTGGGGACATCAGAGCCACGTTGCTGTCCCCCCACCACGGGTGGTCCCAGGATGGGGGATCGCATCCATCTGCCGGTGGTGGTCATCTCGCTCCCACCCCGGGCTCTGGGCAGCCCCGACGCTGGGTGATGGGCGCTGGAGGGAGAGGTCCCAGCCCTGGATGGCTGCTGGGGCGCCGGGACCTGGCCGGTACCTGGAGGCTCCCGCGCGGGCAGTACTCGGTCAGGATGCAGATGTTCGGGGAGTCGGTGCAGGCACCGATGAAGCGGGTCAGATGCTCGTTTTGGACATCCCGCATCTACGGTGGGGCAGGGTGTGGGACCAGGCTCACGCCACGTCCCACCCTACCCAGGGGACACTGGGCTGGGCATCCCCCTCCCACCACGCCGAGCCGGGGTCCACCTACGTGCTTCAGCTCGAACAAGACCTTGCGCGTCAGCTCGATGCGACATCCCGCATCTACGGTGGGGCAGGGTGTGGGACCAGGCTCACGCCACGTCCCACCCTACCCAGGGGACACTGGGCTGGGCATCCCCCTCCCACCACGCCGAGCCGGGGTCCACCTACGTGCTTCAGCTCGAACAAGACCTTGCGCGTCAGCTCGATGCGCTTACGGTTGAGGTGCTTCACGGCCACGAGGTTGCCCTGGGGAGACATGGGGTGATGGGTGCCTGGTGGGGTGATGGGGGCGCGGTGGGGTGGTGGGTGCCTGGTGGGGTGGTGGGTTCCCATCGCTGCTCCTGCATCCTCATACCTTGTAATACGCCGTCTTGGCGTAGACCTGGAACTGCCCCTCCATGGTCATCAGCGAGCCGTAGTTGGAGCCCCTCTGCGGGAAGTGACGTGGGGTGAGCCCGGTACCCGGTCCCCGTCCCCGGGGCAGAGCTGGGGATGGGACGGGTGCTCACCAGGGAGAGGGTGAGCTTGCTGCCGGCGGTCCGGAGGTGTTTCTCCAAGCTGCTCATCTGCACGTCCTCCCAGCGGACCCGCCACAGCTCAGCCGCCAGCTCCTTCTCCAGCTGCAGCTTCCTGCGCCGGGAGGGCAGGGCGAGACCCCCCATGTGTGTGTGTCCCCCCCCCCCCCGCCCCGCCCCCCCCCCGGCCAGGCGG